AAGTCAAGGCCATGTGAAAGAGGCCGAGACAGTGAGAGATGTTAATGGTGTGGGTGTTTTTTTTAAGACCTGTTGCCTGTGAGAATTGTCTTACTCCGTCCTTACTCCTGTAAGCCTCATTCACATACATGTAAGGAACTCAAACTGCACTAACTGGCACACTGAGCAGAAGTCCAACGCCAGGGTGAAAATATGCCCTATTAATTGTGTGCAGTCATTTAAACGTATTTGTTGGTTTGTCAAATTAGACCATGCAGGACGTTTTCCAAGTGAGTGCATATGGCTCGTTTTATTTTTTGAATCAGCTTTTTTTTTGTGCTCCACAAGCACAAAACCAACACTTTTCCCCATGGGGGATAAAACGGCAAGGCGTAAATGTGTTGCTATTTTGAATAATGAGGTGATTGTAGATGCACTCACATTGCGCAAACGTGTGAAATCTGACTCGTCCTGCAAATGAAAGCCGAGCCTATTTACCTCCACGAATGCCCTGCAAAAACATAAAGGAGTGGGATGCCGGGGCTATTTGGAGGTTGTTTGTAATTCTGCTGTTGTGTTGTGGTGCTCGAGCGTCTCTCCCGCTCTTGCTCTATAACATGTTGTCTGTGTGCAGGATTAGTGCAGCGGGGCTTGTATGTGTGCAGCTGCCCATTCTGTGGCGTTGCAGATAACTTATTATCCGGGATTGTGACACTGACAGTGACACCGAAAGGGAGACGGTGCACAGCTGTAATGTTGTGGGATTAGATTCCTACAATGATTGATCCTCTGAGCACGAGCTCATCACTGTGCGCTGGAGAAGAAGAAGAAGAAAAAAAAAATTGTGTTTGCGCCCTGCGCCTCGCTGGATGTTTTCATGCCTGCTTGTCTGTTTTCATCAAGGCTGCTTGTTGCTTTCTCAACTTGCTTTATTTTCTGTCAAGTGGTCTCCCCCCCCCCACAGCCTCTCTTTGTCTCTTCTCTCCCACCTGTTGTTTTGTCTCCCTGGTTTCTTCTGGCAGGCTAGCTGCTGTTTTCCTTCACATCTGTCCTGGTGACCTCCGACAACTCATCTCTCCAGCAATCTTCTCACCTGGCATTTCTCTCTCCTCCCTGGTGTATTTTTCATTTCTGTTTCAGCCCCCGTGTCTGTAAATTCGTCACTTAGGCTGCTGCCTGCAGCAATGTTGTCTCAATGTTCTCCCTGTCTCCCTTCCCTGTCACTCCTCTGCTTCCCTCTCTTATCTTGCTTTCTTTGGGTTCTCTGCTTCCTCTCTCCCCGCCCCTCAACCTCGTCTTCGTTGTTTTTCCCACTGTTTCACATGTTTTTCTCTTCCATTTTATCCTGCTGCTTTCTCCTCTCCTTGTTGATTCCCCCTTTCTCCCTCCCTCTCCACACGTGTTTCTCTTTATCTTTACTTCTAATGTCCCACGTCACACTCTCACATGGCACTGCCACAATCTGCTTCTCCTGGCAACCTCATCTCCTCTCTTCCCTTTCCTCTCTCTTTTATGCCTCTATTCTTTCTCTCATTTGTGCCCTTTCTCCATCACCCACGCTCCCATTAGCTGGTGTGAGTGCTTATTAAGTCATTTCGTCATTCTCCTCTCTTGGCATCCAGCAGTGTGTGTGTGCCTTTGTGTGTGTTTGTGTACTGCAGATTAGACATGTATTTACTCAAAAATCAATATTGGCATGCTGGTACCTACGTGTGTATGAGCTGTATTTGACTCACTCTTCCCAAAAATAATCAGCAGTGGCACACTAACATGTGAGGAAGTGAAATGTTGATTTCTGTGTGTGTCTCCGCCTTGCGTACACACAAACACACAAACACTGCAAACACCCTCCAGCACTTCAGTCCTCATTCACAGGCTGAGGGTTAGTACGCAAACAGATATGTTTGAGCATGCAAGCATGAGAGTGTATAGTTTTTTATGCGTACTTGTGCTTGATATTTCATCTATGACCCTTGAAATAATGTGTTCTTGTTTGTTTTGTTTGAGGGTGTGTGACTGCATGCATGTGGCTATCTGCGTGTCAAAGTGTGTCTGTGTGTCATCAAGCAGAGCGTGTCATTGGACTTTCAGTGAACCACCCAAAGGCCACTCCCTATGTCCACTGGCTTGGATGTTTACTGTGGAAAACAATGCATCCCAGAATGGGAGCTTGAATTGTTGTGCAGCTTTTGCAGGACTGTTGCTCCACTCCACCAGGGAACCCATGGCCAGTAGAGCTGCTACCTTCTTGGAGAGCGCTCCCCGCCTTTAATGAGGCCGGCGAGAGCGAGTCCTCTCCATCGCCGCCAGGACGGCAGATTAGGCTAATTCAGATTATGCAAATGACACACTCTCTGGCAAGGATTACAGGCCACTATATAGAGGAAAGAGAGAGCATGGCAGAGTGAGGGAGATAAGAATAGGAGGATTCAGTGGGCATCAGAAGAAAGTTAGAGATAGAGGAGAAACGAGAGCTAACATTAACAGCCAGCGGTAGTTCGAGGAAAGTTAGACGTTAAATCATGTTTCTGGGCTGGAGTGAGTGTGTGTGTGTGTGTGTGTGTATTCATGTGAGAGGTATTTTGTGTGACAGGGTGCTGGCTGGGGAGAGCGGCAGGCAGTCTTTTCTTTGCTTCAGGTCGTCGCCTAACATTGTAAACAATGGTTCAGGGTTTTGGTCACTGTTAGACTCCATGTCTGATACTAGCTTGTGTAGTATTGGACGTATAACTCTCAAGGCGGTTTTGGAACACATGTCCTGCAGGTTTCTAGCAATAATAAAAATTAAAAAAATAGTAAGTATGCCCTACAATTAGACCTTAGGAAAGTGTCTCTTCGTGCAGTAAGATCCAAATTATTTACAGTTTCAAAACTGTGCACTTGGACTGGCAGAGGATATCCACTCTATGCCCAAATGGATTACAGAACAGGCCCAGTGGGCCAAGGAGCCCCTATGTGTAAGGATTACAGATACTTGAACCCAAAAGCACAACTCGGAGACAAAATACAAGTCTAGCTCTTTTTACTTGTGTTCAGGCAGGGTCAAAACCGGGAGGTCAGTCAAACAGGTGAACAAATCCAATAAGGGGCAGGCAAAAATCCAAGGTCGAAAACAGGCAGATCAGGAACAATATAAAGATACGCTGGAGAGCTTGGCAATAACACACAAGACAATCTGGGAGGGAACAAATGCAAGTGAGTTGACCTAAATAGTGAGGGCTAATGAGGGGATGGGCTGCAGGTGAGATGGGCGTGGAGGACCAGGTGAGGGGAACGAGAGGTGATCGGGTGTCAATGGCAGGATCTGAAATGACAGGAGAGTTAATAAAACAAGCCGACAGGACGAAAACAGACTAATATGAAGGGGAATTCGTGACACTATTAGCTTGGTTTGATATGATCATTTTTAACATGTTTCGTTTGTAAGTCAAAGCCTTCAGTCAACTGACCAGATAATTTGTTTTCAGCTGATCCCAGACCATAGCCCGCTGCTACCATTTTGAAATGCATGTTATACGGTGGTAAAGGACTAAAAAGCAGATGTGAATTCATCACGCTTGAAATGTTATATAGATGTGAAACTGAATATTCCGCATGTGCTATTTGTTTGTTTACCACGTCGTCTTTGTTTTTAATGTTCCTTTTTCTAGCATCTTTTCATGTGTACATTTTATCAGTGCACGCTGCAGTGCATCTTTTTGTATGATATATGCTTTATATATTACGTATTATTACTGCAGTATTATTATGTTATAAAGGTGAAATTGTGGTTTGCATGTCATAAATCCACAAGTTATTTTCACATACCCTTCATTTGAAAGAACTCAGGCCGCATTAAGCATTTGTTAGTCTGTTTGACATGCTCCACACGTTATTTTTAATATTGTTGGTATAGTATGACTGAAAGTATGTAATTGTTGATAAACTGTGGCAGGAGCTTTCTTGCTCACTGTGTTCTTGAAGACAGAAATGTTGCTGATTGGTCACAGTGAGAGACAGCTGATTGAACAAACACAATATACACTTAATCATCCGCAACAGGGAGCATCTTTTGAATGTCGGGCAAATTAAATTGAATGCTTCTCTTGCCACGAAATTGAATTCTACCCAGCACTACCGCTTCAATCCCAGAACAGTAAATAAAGCAAACCTTCAATTGAAGACTCTGTGGAACCCTCTTGATCCAGCAGAGCCCCCTGCAGCCTGCGAGTCCGTGGCTACACTTCACCTGGTCGGGCAAACACAGCTCCTCTCCACATTCGCATTAAGACGACGAATGAGTGCCCGCTGGTAGTGCATGTTCATTCCATCATT